TTTTCTTGTTTTTCCATGTGCTTTTTGTACATGCAAACGAATAAACAAATAAATCTTAGTTGTTAAAAAAGTAGTCTTCGATTTGTGGCAAGTTCCTCTCTGCACATTGCACCATACTAGGGAAGCAGAGGATGTGTGCAGGCACACGGCCTCGGATGGCTTCCCAAAACTTTCCATCCCAATCCGGTTGATGGCATTATACATAGTCAAGAAAGGGGGATGCGTCCAGATGCAGAATTTTGGGGAGCCATCCCCGGCGGGTGCTGCTGCACCGGGTTCCAGAGCCAAAATAGCTCTACTGTCCTAGCCATGAAACAGATCTAGATCGCGCAATTATTTCCATTCCCAGGTGTGCGATGCCGCTCAATAATGCAAATGTTACTGAAGAACCAGTAACCTAGTTTTGCAAGACAACTGAGTCACAACTACAATTAACGATTTTACTTTCTTCAAGCTTACTGACAAATAAATTCAATTAATCCAAATTATTAAATCATGAAGCGATCACAAGTGGTAACCAACGTGGAACTATCTTCTTATCAAGGCGTAGAAATGAGCCGTATGCCCAGATATCAACGTAAACGCACACCTCGTACGTTAGCGCCTAGATACAGTAAACGAATACATAATAAGGAATTAATCAAAGATACTATAAAAACATGAAATCTAAGACATGGAACGATAGAACATCTACAAATGATCACGGAGCCACATAGAGCACCGATCGGTGAATAAAAAGGAAAGAAAGGGTTTCACGTCTCATCGAAAAGGACAAACATCAACAACAAACGAAAGCTGTACGAACCACAACAAAGCGAAAACCCTACGCATCTTTGATGGTGAGTCGGTAGAATGATGAATGGGCAAGGCAGAGAAAACATAACCGATCGCACAGGGAACGCAAATACATGAACGGGAATATTGAAACACTGGTCATAAACTGCTTGCTATGGCAGTAACAATTGATATAAAGAGCAATCAACAACTAACAAGGATGCGAACTGCATCATTTCCGCTGCGGCAGACGGCGCCGAGCAGCCACCATTTTGCGGGTGCCACTTGATCTGAATCAGAGCAAAATGAGTGTAAGTTCATAAACAAGTACAAAGAAAGCTTACGTGAAGGAGAAGTTGGAGCTTGGCGCAGCTGGAGCGGTAATACCCGAAATTTGGAAAGCTGAATGAGTAAATAATATCTCTTATCAATGAACAGATGCACCATTAACCACTCTTACTTGGGGCTGCCGGAGCAGTTGGTTGAGAAGAGCCGAACTGAAATGGAGTCGAGCCACTGAAAGCTGTCGATTGCCCAAATTGAAATGTTGGTTCGGGTATGGTGGCACCAAATTGGAAGGGTCTAAAATATAATTTTGCGAGGTTATCTTTGACTAAAGTTCACTGTATTTTAAATGTCATACTTAGATGCATCAGCCACACTTGAAGCGCTTCCAAATACAGAAGTGGTTGATGACGTAGACGGTACGGAAGGAATGGAGGCAGTAGAGGAATTTCCAGCATTGAACGTTCCAAATGAATTGCTGCAATGCAAAATTGAATCAGTGATGTATAATTAATGGAACGCAACCACTGTAAAGGAGTTACCTGTTCGATCCAAAACTGAAAGTTAGTCCACCATTCGCGGTAGGAGCGGTAGCCGCAGTATTCGTACCAAAGAGTGGTTTGTTTACAGAATTGGTTGCCGAAGCACCGAAAAGAGGTGGCTTCTGAGCTTCGCCGGATAGATTTGCTCCAAATGGAGATGGCTTGAAGCTTTCAGCAGAACTATTAACGGTACCCATAAATGGTTTGTCTGCAGAGCTCCCAAACGTGGGAAACAATGGCTTCGTGGTCCCGCCTGCGCCGAAAAGACTTGTTCCTGACGAGGACCCAAGCAAGGCTGGAAATATTTGAAAAAATTAGTTACTGCTAGAAAATATATTGTACAATGTTTGAGAAAAACCCACATTTTCCTGTAGTGTCGGCATTAGATTGAGCACCGAGAATACCAGTGGAGGACGAAACCTGTTCGGAGGTGGTAGGTCCGTTTCCGAAGGTCAGTCCGCTTCCAAATAATGGCGCCTTCGTGGAACTTTCTTCTTTTTTGCTTTCAAAGAGATTAAATGGTTTCGTGCCATTTGTAGATGACATTGTTCCGAAAACAAATGGTGCAGGAGCAGTGGTAGAGGTTGCCTGTGACTCGCTGGTCGAAGATGATGGAGGGGCTGCTGCCGCCGAGGATGGTGTTGCTAGCAAAGATCCAGTGGAATGAGACGTATTGAACATAGAAGACGATGAGGAACCAAATAGGGGAGGCTTTGCTCCGGCACCAAAGATCGCAGCACCGGCACTGAAACACACGCTTACGTAGAACAGAAGATAATATAATTGTGCTATGATTGTACTTCGGCCACATAATACGGGATTTCGGCAGCACCCCTTACATGCAATTATTTGGTATGAGCATGGACCGGAATTCAATAACAAATTGGCGACAATGCGGCCCGAAAATGCCGTCGTAAACAAATTTTTTTGCACAGTTTTTGAAATTTCACAGAAACTATTATTGTGAAAAGCATGTTTATGATCTATGCATTCCTCTCACAATGAGCGTTTTAACCAAAAGGTGCTTGATAACTTCTCTTGGGTGAAAGCTTATTTTTTCGAATGTATAGAGCTGGCTTTTTGTTTACCTTAGCGTACTGACACAACTTTCGGCAGAAAAAAAAAGACTCACGATCAGTTGAAGCCCATTCACGAATTCTGAAGTGGAGAAGTTAAACTTGCGAGCTATAGATTTCTTTGGTCAAAGGAAACTTATTTAAAGGAATCTTGCGCGGAAAATTCTTGCACTCTTTCCTAACATGAATATGTCAGTTGTGATCACTGGAAATAGCACACAAAGTTTCACGCATGAAGATTCGGTTTCTGAAGAGAAACAAACGTACAAAAACTACACGTTATGGACCATCGAAGGACCAGGAGGCAGAGCCAGGCGAGGCATGGAAAGAAGACGGCGTTTGGCCGGCTACGTACCAGGCGACGCAGAAGGCCAGAAAGAGCTTCTAGTGAATGCACTCCAAGAACCAAGTTTGAGCATCCCCGTCGCCAGCATTCGTGAAAGACGTCCGTGGGCAATTCGAACGCGTAGCAGCCTTTTCGAGTTTTCGAATTTCTAATCAAAACGAAAGCAATACTTCAGTTCTTTTCACTATTATCGTGGATAATGAGTCTCAAGCCAGTGATTTATGGCTGAAATAGAATCATGATTTTTCCGCGCAAGATTCCTTTAGATGCCTGTCAAAAAATGTTCGAGAAGTAACTTCCAATGAGTTCTGCATGGAGTTTAATAATTTTTTATTATGGATTTCTGACTAGGATTGCAACTCCAGAAGCCAAAGCATTCGTATGGAAAAGCCAAAAAGCCGTAATGTCGCCATCGTGGTTACATAGCCAATGCCAAACATATAATAGCTACTAGTTAAGTCAACACATTTTCCTTGATCTAGCGGTCACTATCACAGAATTTCATATATAAAGATGACGCAGAGCCAGTCAACCAAACTACGCTCATACAGATCTTCGAACTTACCCTAACGAAAATGTTGGCAGCTTGTGACGTTTCGTTTTGATCGATTCACTGCTTGAACTTTCAACACGGCTATAAATGAGTGATTTTGACAAGAAATTTACAGGTATTTCACATTAAAATTCTCACGAGATGATGATGCCTTCGTGATGGCAGGCGTCGAAGAAATAGTTGTACCAGCAGTTGTAGGCGCGGGATCCGCTTTAGTGATTCACAGTAGCTGCTGGTTCCGAATTGGCAATTGTCTGCTTCTCACTAGTGCCGAGACCGAATTTTATGCCTCCAGATGCACCGGAAGCGCTGTTTGATGTACCAAAGCCGAACGAGACTGAAGTTTAAAAATGGTTAAAATTAAAAAAAATGCTGAAAAGAGAAAATGACATAAAACAAGGAAAATTCGGAAGCAGGCATTACAACATCAATAGTTTACCAGCACTTGATACTACTCTTCTAGTGCCCTCAAGCTGTTGTACTCTGTTCTTATATCAGCTAATAGGTTTTTGTTATTATGACTTTGCGCAAGATGTTAAATACTATATTCTACGAGATTCTACAGCAGCGATTTGCTTTAAGCCATCCATTACATTAATAAATATTTGTTCTGTTATGTAATCAAAGGCAACAAGTCTCAGCTCTTGATACTTAACGGATAGGATGTGAGCTTTCCCAGATGCACGAATACAGACCTAATTCAGCCAATGCAGTCTTCCAGATTTTTTGGCGAACCCGTCCAAAAAGAAGAATTTAGGTTGATGCTATAACCAACTAGAACAAATGACACTCTGGGATGGTCAACTCGAACAATTCTATACATATAATGGTACCTCCTGTGGAAGGAAGAGGTGCCGCTTTGAAGGCACGATCACCAAAGACGCTCGCAGTTGCATTTGATGAACCTCCTTCAGATTTGTACATCACATGACCACAGCACACACACTTGTCATCAGACTCCTCAAATTAGACATTCTGATTATGAAGAAACAAACGGAATTAAAGCAATGCAACAAGGAGACCAAATAAACCACGAAACAAACCTTGTTTTGAACCATACAATCCGGACACTCCCATGCTACGCGTTTCTTATCCGATCCACTTGCATTAGGTGTTGCTGCGGCGGTAGTGGAATCACCAGCCGTGGAAGGCTTGCAAGAGTCCTGCTTGGGTTCAGAAGTCGCATTCGGGGCAGGTTTCGAAGTACCATTACTTCCCAGAGCAGTTTCCTTTGATACTGCCAATGTGGTGCTTGATGGTGCGCTACTGTCTTTGACTCCCTCAGGAGCTAATCCGAATCGAAAACCACCAGCAGCAGGTTTTCCGAATGTCGCTATGTTGGACACGAGCGTTTTGGAAGTGGTCGAAGCATCTTTGTTGTGTCCACAGGCGGCACAAATATTGACATTCTGAAACAAACAGAAAACCGCCGTTGACCACACCCATACCATTACCAATGAGAAGAAAGTAATAATGGATACCTTATTTGTGATGAAGCAATCTGGGCAACTCCAAGAAGTTTCAGTCTTGGTTTGTGGCGAAACATCTTTTGATGATGTTGGAGTAACATTCGAGGAAATTGCACCAGATGTTTCGCTGTCAGCAGCAGTCGGTGGACGGGAAGCCTAAAATCTCAACCAATACAGACTACGAAAGAAAGAACATCTCGTGCCAAGATTAAGGAGAACAGGCACATGTTGACTTGATACTTGGTAAAAAAAAACCTTCGTCTCCTTTTCTTGTTCATTTGTTTCTTCAGCATCAGATGTAGAGCTGCTCTGCTCATTATCCGAATCATCATCACTGCTATCAGATCCTTCCGAACCACTTCTGTCACACTCGGTCGACGTCCCAACAGCAGCGTTTTGTCCAGGCAAGCGTTCAACGGGAGCGCCGAAGGAGAAAACCATGTCATCCAGAAACCCCGCAGTTGGCGCCGCCTTTATAGGAGGTGCAAACAAAGGGATGTCATTCTGAAAGAGAAGAAAACACATAATTGATAGAAAACGCTTATTAGGAAACAATCAACGTACCGTCCTATCCTCGGAGGCGTCTACCATTTCCTCATCAATTAACTGAGTGGCGTTGAACACGTTCGCGCTGATGGTCTTTCCATCGCTTCCTAAAGAATTAAACTGATCTGGCGAAACAAACACGAATATTGAAATTAAAGGTTTACGGACTACTTGATTTTTCCTCAATGGTCCTGCCGCGATGGCTAGAGCACAGACGATTAGAGAACGGGTGAATGCCCTAGGACTAAGCCTTGGAGAGGAGAGGGACCCGCGAGAGAGCGCAGAGGCGGTTTAAAAGGGCTGAGTTCAAGTAGTCCGTCGACCGAAATTAAACGGCCAAGGTGAGAAATTTTGAGATAGCAACATTGGGGTAATTTAGGAGAGGTAACGCTAACCAAACACTTGCTTTCGACAGTTGACTGCTATTTGTTCGCTGTTCTCCAAAGGAATGAGAACAAAAAAAGCGGTGGGTTATGAGCAAAACTATTTTGTTTTCTTTTGCGCATTCCTCAGCAATCTTGCGATGGTTCATCTACTAATCCCTAACGAATTTTCAAATCAGTTTTTAATCGTTCCACAGTGGAGACAAATCGTTAAAGTCGTTCGAGTGACTGAACCCCTAATCTTCAATGCGCTCATCTTTTTCAGTGCAATCGTTATGGCAACCGCGGAATTTGATACCTAAGAAAGCTGTCGTATACTATCAGCCCTGTTCTTTAGCGCCCGTGAAGATGCCGCATGAGGATATAAACTTTCCTGTTAGTTTGCAATAAGAAAACATATAAAAAACAGAAATATCCTTAAATATATTATACTTATGTTTATGACCAGGGTTTCTAGGTTCCTAGGCGTTTCAAGGGCGCAAGAGATCGAATGGACCTCAGAAAGCGAGATGAATTTACAAGAAATTTGTACTGATCTATCACCCACATTAGCTACTGGTTAGAAAAGGTTCATAGAAATGAAAACGCCAGCGATAGAAAACGCAAGTCAAGAGCTTTGGATAAAACAAATAGCCAAGTGACAAAGCTATAAAATAACCATTCATTCATACCAATCATATGGAAAATGTTAAGGAGATAAAACTGCAGTACCTTTCAAGGAAGGCACATGAGGTTTCATTGTCTTTGCCGATACATCCGCTCCGATATCCTTCCTTACTGATTTCGAAAATGAGCTACTTGCATTGGACCCATTTTTGTCCATGTCAAACAGAGGATGAAGCTTAATAATGAAGTAATATTCAAAACGCGATGAAAATATGAGTAGTGTACATACCGAACTACTGCTGGGTTTATCATGACTCTCCTTCGAGACAGTGCTTTGCTCCTTCTCTTGAAGCTTTCTGGTTATA